TCCCCCTCACTTCCCCTTTCCTCTCACTTCCCCTTCCCTCGCACTTCCCCTCCCCTTCCCCCTTTCCTTTTTCCTTCCCTTTCCCTGCTCTGGGTTTTAGATTTCCTCCCCTCCCCTAGAATTTTGAAAATAAAAAATTTTCAATTTTTTTTTACCCTTTAACGCCCATGCAAAAAATCAGAAATTGATCATACAGTTAACATTTTTGTTCCATCTTTATAGTATGTTAATTGTCGATTTAACCAAAATTTCAATTATTGTTTCAAATCAAGCAATACAAATTTTTTACATTTTAGTTTACATCTGTAAGAAAAATTGAGAAAATCTTACTATGATGCATAAAGAAAGATTGTCACTATTTTATCAAAGAATTACGGTTTTCTTGTGCAATTCCTTTAATAAATAAAAAAAACCTTGGGTGCCATCTGGATTGCGAAGTTTCCTCCGACAGATTTAATCTTCTCTTCTACTACTCTACACCCCTCCTGGAGCAGTGCCACTCCCTCAACCTTCTCAGGGGTGGAGCAGGTCATCACATATCTAGAATATGTTAAATTAAGGTGGGAAGTTCACATATTACGCGATGGAGAATCTTTAAAAGTAATTTTTTCAGTTCTAAAAAAAATATTAATAAAAAAAGAATTTATTTACTTAAAAGGGGCTGTCGTTGTTTTTTAAATGACCTTCCATTTGTAAATATCTTTGGTTGAAAATTGTTTAATTTCATCGAGAAATTGTTGTTTAAGCCAAACAGCACAGTTCATTTTAAAGAGAAACCATTACTGAATATATTACATTTATTACATGTGATAAAAATTAATAACATTTCACACATTAATGGAAAGCCCGTAGACTCAACATGAATAATCAGCAAACAAATTGGACCAGACGAGAATTGCTCAAAATGTGTCGAAGTGGTTTTTGTTTGATTCTATTTAATAATCATAATACTGATAACTGAGCTAAGACTTAAAGATTAAATCCCGAAGTTTCGTACAATACATTGCTCATCCCTTAAGACCAATGCATAAATTGGTGTATGTATTACGAAAAATAACTTTTCTTTCTCCCCCTCACCCCTTATGGATTTTATTTTTAGGGTAAGGGACAAGAAGTATCAAAGATAACGTATAATTTTCTTCAATATCATCAAAATCACCCCCCCCCCCC